ATCATCGCATTGCGCATGAATTCAAACCCGACTCGATCGAAGCCCTAACTAAGGACAAGAACAACCGGAAGCTCAAGCAAATCTTGCTCGAGTCGTGGTACCCTGACCGTGTGGACGAGTTGGTCAGTGACGACGAAGAGGACTGTAGCTGGGTGTCTTCAGGATATGTGGGTTTCCGAAAAGAGGGGACCCTAGTATAGTACCCCAAATAGTAGGAACCTGATTCTAAGTGCCCCAAAATAAGGTACCCCTAAGTTTCTGAAACTCCCATATGTACTAAGACCCCCTAAGGACCTTCAGTATCTATTACGATTCATGCAGGATCCACCTGAAGCCGCACTAGCTGATGAGGAATACGAGCCAGACTCCCCGAAAGAGGATCCAGGGGAGGACCTTGTGCCTTTCATACATGGTCGACTAGATGAGGAAGATGAGGACAAAGGGGCTGAGGATTCGGGGCGCTCGAATGAAGGTTCCAGTTCGGGCCACAGAAGCAATGCAGGAGCTGAGAATGAGGATTCCAGTACCAAGCAACCTACAGCAGAGGCCGTCCACAAAGGCAATGCAGGGCCTGCTGAGAATGAGCACTCCAATGCAAAGCAACCTACAGCAGAGGTTTCTGGGCACCAAGGCAATGCAGGGGCTGAGAATCAGAACTCCAGTGCAAAGCAACCTACAGCAGAGGTCTCGGGGCACCAAGGCAATGCAAGGGCTGAGAATCAGGACCCCAGTGCAAAGCAACCTGCAGCAGAGGTCTCGGGGCACCCAACCAACGCAGGGGCTAAGAATCAGGATTCCAGTGCAGAGCAACCTGCAGCAGAGGTCTCGGGGCACATGTCTGGCAACAGTGCTGTCCTGGCATCGATGACCAAAGCGTCTGCGCAACCTGAGTTGTTGATTGTTTGTTCGGACGACGAAGCGGTTGCTATGCCTCCTATGCGACCTGTTCCCACACCAGCCCGAGCTGGGCTACCTGTGTCACGTCAAGAGCATCTGGAGACCCTCAAGCGACAA